TTTGTTTTAAGTAGGCTTCATGCCTAGTGCCCAGCACAGACAGGACTCAGACTCACAACACTGAGATCAAGACCTGAGCTGAGATCAAGAGTTGGACACTTAACCAACCGAGCCAACCAGGGACCCCTCCCCTCTGGTAGTTTTTAAGACATACTTTTGTCTGGGGTTTTCTGCAATTTGACTATAATGTGGGTTTGTATTTTTGTTTTTTTTAGTCTCTTAAGGATTTGTTGGGCTTCCTTAGTTTACTTGATTCATTTTTATCCATTTGGGAAAATTCTTAGCCATTTTTTAAATATTGCTATTTCTCTTTTCTCTCTGGCCCACTGAGAACTCCAGTTATATATATGTTAGACTTTCTCACTGTATCTTCCTTGTCACTTCATCTCTTTTTTGTATTTTCTTTTTTTTATCACCTGGGCATTCTCTCATGATGTGTCTTGTAATTATTAGTTCTTCTTTCAATCATGTTTGATCTGTTGGGTTTCCTAATTTCAGTTATTATAATTTATTCATCTCTAGAATTTCCATTTAGAGTTCTTTCATGTCTTTTGGCCATTATTCATAGTCTCTCTCTCATTTTCAATTCTTTCTTTTCATGGAGTTTTATATATTTATATTCTTTGACTGATAATTCCAGTATTTGAAGTCTTTGCTTGTCTAGATTGCTGACTTTTGCCCATTGATGCCTTTTTTTCTTATATATTTTGTGCCTTTTGATGGTGATCTATCTCTTTTTCCTTAGAATCGTATCAATAAATGATAAAGTTGGATTGAAGATATGTTCGTTTAGAGAGCATTCACATTTATTTTTGCTGAGCAGGAGGCACTGTATTTCGGAACCACTTTTCCTTCCCATTAATGAGGTATATGTATGTATGTGTGTGCACATATGTGCATGTGTATTTGAGATATAATTTACATACCATGAAGTTCAACCTTTTAAAGTATATGATTTAGTGGTTTTAGTATATTTACAAAGTTCAGGACCAATTTTAAAATACAACCTCGGCTTGAGGTTTAGACCACAGAGGCACTGTGAATTCATGCTGCACACCCACATGAAGGCTACCTTTATGGTTAAAAATTCTTGAGTGAAATTTACTTTCCTTTACCTAAAACCGAGATCAAAAGGCCACCTTTCCTTGCTGTCCTGTTCTGCAGGGAAAATTAGTTTTCTATATGCCTTATAGATATGGTATAGCTCTCGTCCCAGCTTTATACAGGAATTTCCTCGGGGTGCCTGGGTGGCTCAGTCAGTTAGGCATTTACCTTTGGGTCACGACATGATCCCGGGGTTCTGGGATCAAGCGCCATGTTGGGCCAGGGAGCCTGCTTCTCCCTCTACTGCTCCCCCTCCTTGTGTTCTCTCTCTCTTTCTCTCTCTCTGTGTCAAATAAATAAATAAAATCTTTAAAAAATAACAAAACAAATAGTATTTAAAAATTCAAACCAAATTTTAAAAAAAAAGAGTTTCCTCTCAGACTCCCTTCTTAAGAGTTTTGTCTCATATCTCCTATATCCTCTTGGTAATCAGAACAGGAGTTCAAGGTCACAGAAGTTGAGCAGGTGTCCCAGGACAGCTGCCAGTTCTGGAATTAAGCTCACTTCTCTGAATTCCAGCTCTTGGCTCATATTTGGTCTTAGAAGATTTGAATCTTTACTTCCCAACTCAGCAATGCATTTAGAAAAATTTTTTTAAAATACATTATTTATCGGGGCGCCTGGGTGGCTCAGTGGGTTAAAGCCTCTGCCTTCGGCTCAGGTCATGATCCCAGGGTCCTGGGATCGAGCCCCACATCGGGCTCTCTGCTCTGCAGGGAGCCTGCTTCCTCCTCTCTCTCTCTGCCTGCCTCTCTGCCTACTTGTGATCTCTGTCTGTCAAATAAATAAATAAAATCTTTTAAAAAATACATTATTTATCATATTTGGTTTGTAGTGGCAAGGTTATTTGGGACAGTGCAAGAATATTGTCCACCTTTCTCTTTTGTTGATCGTGCACATTTTTTTTCTTTCTTCCGTCTCTAGCCAATTCTCCAGGGAGACTGCGTGGGTCAGTGCTAGCCCCATCTTGTCTTTATGTGGCCCTTCTGTTCCTTCTGTGGGCTGTAGTGGAATTCCTTGAGCTAAGGACGTTCCCAGTTCCTTGAAGAAGGGCATCTTGCTGCTTCCTCAGAGACTCAGCCATACGAGCCTTAGAGGCTCAACAATAACCAAATCTTAAACTCATCTTAAGCCTATAATAGAGTGAAATTCATTTTCTTCCTCTGCTTATGGCTTACCAGCTTCAGTGTATGGTTTTTGAGTCCTTCTACCTCCCCACAATCACTTTTATTCTGACATCTTTTAAGACTAATTTCTCTCATTGTGCCCAAAGGGAGAGAAAGCTTCCTCAAACCCTTTCTTCACCTTCTCTCTGGAGGCCAGCTTGCTGTGCAGCTCAGATAGGAAGAACAAAGGGAACATGCCGTGTGGGTGGGATTCTGGTCTCTGTAACACCCCCCACCCCCTCCAGTCTCAAGATTAACTTATGGACTTTGTGGCTGCCCCTGGAAACACCCCTCCATAGCCCACTGCCAGCTAAATGTGGGACTTGCCTGTCTGGGGCTGGGCCCCAGAAGAGCTCAGATGCCTGGGCAACTTCTCTCCCTCTTCAGGAAGTTTCTGTTAAGTATCACTTACAGGAAACAAAATAGGAAGCATGGAAACAGCAGTTCTCAAGGGATTTGGGGAGAAAAGTGTTCCCTTAGGGAAATTTGTCAGAATCTCTTATGGAAGATTTTTAAATCACCACGCCTCCAACCCCAATAGGTGAGCCACACTTCTGGCAGGAAGGGACCAGAGTGGGGAAATGCTGAGAACCACTGGTCTAGAACTACACTGTCCAGTATTGTAGCTACTAGCCACGTGGGGCTATTGTGCTCTTGAAGTATACAGCTAGAATAATACTCTGGATTTTATAGGTGTAATACCAGAAAAAGAAGGCAAAGTATCTTAATAATCTTTATATCAATTACATATTGAAATGCTACTATTTTAAATATGTCAGAGTATGTAAAATATTTATTAAAATTAATTTCACCTGTAACTTTTAAAAATGAAGTTACATACATGGCTTGCATTCGTGTCTTACTTTATACACCTCTTAACGCTGATCTAGAAGATAACTTATTCCTTTTGGGAAAGTGTGTGTGTGTGATATTTTGAGCCAAAACGTTGGTTCAGCCTGTAGGCTCTATTGGTCTGATGGTTGGCCATTTTTGCCTGACTCATACAGATAGATGTGACTTCATTTATTCCTACAGAGGTTTCTCAACAGTGCCCACAGCCCCTGATCCTAGGCAGAAAAGAAGATTGCATTCCCAAATGAGGAAAATAAAAATAGGTTTTTAAAGGAGTCATGTAATCAGTAATAACTTTAAATGGTCCTTGTCCTCATTGCTTTCTCTAGAAACTCATTAAACTCCGTGCCCTCCAATTAGCACATGTATTTCCTATTCACTTCCATATTAGTTTGGATATCCAGGGACACAGCTCTTAGAATGTTCTTTTGGTGTGATCTTCAGGAGCTGGTAGCTCTAGTTGGCAGGCTCTAGCTTCCAAGCCATTTCTGGGTCATGTGCAGACGTCGTCAGAGTAGCAAGGCAGCCTTCTTGGGTTGGACTCCGGCCTCCCACCTGCCTGCTCTGACTCTGAACCCCCTGCCTTGACAAATGGCACTTGACACCACCAATGACCACCTCTGTGCCCAGTTTCCCCACAACTTTTATAGGACCCAGAAGTTTTTAACCAGTGCTCTCTTTGCCACCATCTTGGACAATATGGCAGCAAGTGATCACTTCAGTATATTTTCTGACTAACCTGCATCCATCCCTAATTTATCAAGGTCAAATAACAGTCCATATGAATAAGCAACCTTTCCTTGGCACCTCTGCACTGGAGATGAGGGGAATCCAAGGATTTGCTACAGTGCACTTGGTTCTAACCACTGGGTACTGTGAGAGCTCGGGGAGCAGGCTGCCTGGTGACTTGGGCAAGGGAGCATGACCCCCTGTGCCTCCTCTGCCTCCCTTGCAAAGTGGGGAGGATGAGAGTACCTTCCTCGGCATTGTGCAAGATTGAACAATGAGGGCACGTTGAGAGCTTACATTGATCGGTGTTCGGCACACACACTTGCATGCATGATTGCTGTTCAATCCTATTTTGAAACCTATTGTTTTAATTCAATAATACCTGTAGAATATCTTTATCTTATCTTATAACATTATTTTAATACCTCAGAGTATCCTTTCATATAGATATACTGCAACTGATTTAATTGATCTCCTACTGTAGGATTTTCAGTTTTGTTTGTTCCTTCCTTCCTTTCTTTTTTGCTATTATAAACAATGACATCATGAATATCAGTGCAGCTAAATTTTTCTTCACATTCTTGAGTATTTCCTTAGCATGAATTCAAAGAAACAGAATCACTTCATCAAACCTATTTATATTACTGAGGTTTTGATAATATGGCCAAATCCTTCACAGATTTTCCAGAATTGTGTCTATCCCAGCCGCGATCCCCTGCCTGCAAGAATGGGTGTCAGGATGGAGAGCTGTCTGCTTTTACCTTCTACCACATGGGAAACACAGTTCACAACCTTGATGCTCAGGAGTGCTTCCTTCCTTGCTATCACACCTGACCCGTACCCCCACACCCCTTCCTGAGCCTGCCCAGCCCCCTGAGGTGCTCTCCCCTGAGCCCCACACTGGTCTTCTTCTAGTGGTTTCCATCATTTATTCCACTTCCTGTAAAATTCAATCCTACCCGGTGTTGCTGCTTCATAATTTCTCCCACTGGACTGTCAGAACAATTCCCAAGGGGGAAAAAAGAAAGGTGAAATTATTTGATCTGAATCCACTTCCTCACCGATACATCTGCTCATGGCTTTTCTGAAGGTTTCCTTCTTTTTCAGAAGCCAGCAAGTTCTCACTGATCTATTTTCTTATTGTTTCAGCCGCTGAAAGGAGCAGTTGGACAGAAAGTAACACTGAATCCCACATAGAAAACGTCACCTTTGATCGGAACCAAATGGACCTTTCCACAGTGGTTTCCAAGGAGGCTGTGAGGACTCAGATCCCCACAAAGAACCATACTTCTTCAGATGCTCCAGAAAACTTCACTCCACAGAGCGAAGCAGCAGATGCTAGAGGAAGAAACAACTCTTCCTGGAAGACAGATTTCACCACTTCCCACGTTGGGGCTGACACAGCAACAGCTCTGACTTCCCAGAGCCTCACCAGAGGTGAGTTTGTGCCAGTGATGGCCTGTTTCCTGCAGGTATGTCCCCTCCTGGAAAATAAAGTTTCTGCATCTCCCTCTTCCCCAGCCTGAGCCCCGGTGCCCATCCAAGGGTCCTGGGCTGTGGGTCCTGGGCTGTGCAGCTCGGACGCCCTCTGTGGCTCGCTGTGATTGAGTGAGTTTGCAGCATAGTCCACGTGAGGACTGAGAGGCCTGGAGGCCTGAGCAGTCCCGTGGAATTGACATTCTGTGGCCAGACTGAATCCCAGTGACTCCGGTGACCATGCCACACACCGCAGTCTCCGAGGGAGGTGCCAGGTCTGGTCTGATGGGCCACACAGCTGGGTCTGTGTGCACGTGGCTCCAACGGTGGTTCCTGCTTCAATCTGCACAGCTCAGTGGGTTGGCACCTTGTCATGAAAGGTTTCAAGAAGGGGCTGGGGCTGGATGTGCAAGATTTGCCTGGGGAAGGGAGGACAAAGAAAAGTGGCACCAATTGGGTACCTACTACACACCCACACATCTGTTCCTTCAGTTCTCACGGCAAGCCAGTGAGGTCACATTATCCTCTTTTGAGGAATTTGGAAACTGAAGGTAGAGAAGTTAATTAATCTGAGGTGTCTAGGTCAAACAGCTCATAGGTTTTATGGTTGGGATTTGAGGCTCTCTGTGCATCTGAGCAAGGTAGAAGGAGAAGCTGAGGAGTGGGGTGCACAGATCATGTGAGGAAAGAAGAGAAGCTGGGTCTCTTTGTGAGGCTGGCTGGCCAGCGGCTTCCCATGGGGAGGGGGTCAGTCCCACATGGAGGAGAGGACAGCTGTGTGGAGGGGGTTAGGGGCAGTCACAGAGGACTTTGAAGACCAGGCCAATTAGATTTGGTATGGTAGGAAGAGTCACCAAAGGTTTTTGAACAGGGCGGTGACATGATCACAGCAAATCTGGGGATGAGTCGGCTGGCAGGCAGGTAGAAGACATCTAGGGTGGGAGATGGGACAGAGGGAACCTGGAGTCAGGGGACCACCCAGGCAGATCCGGGTGCTAAGATCCATGGCCTGGTGGCCTCCGGTGCAGTGAGAAAGGGATTGGTAAAGACTCTTCACAAAGGAAAATTGATACGACTTGGTGACAGCCTAAAAGTAGAGGGTGAAGCCATCAAAGATGACCCCATGGTTTCCCGAGCTAGTTCCAGGAGTTCGGGTGGGGGACTCAATGCTATAAGGAGTGCAAAGGACAGTATTTTATGTCCCATTCATGAGTGATGGGCGTAGAGTGATGGACACCCTGCCCAGGGTGCCGCGTGGGGGTGCTGGTCATGCAGATATTGGAAATTTTGTTTATGTTGACTTTAAGTCAGTTCTGAGACCAGCTTTGTGGAATGTGAGTGACGGGTCATGGGGATCAGAATCGGATCTTTGATTCCATATCGTCTGACACTTAGCTTCATTGTGCCCCTTTTATAATAACTTGACCACTAAAAATGCCGTCTTTGTTGGTGAGATCTGAACACAGGCTTTGTCTTGGTTTGCGGTCTCTCCTTCAGGAGCGAATTTGTTGTAGAATGAATAATTGCTCCTTATTTCTCCTCACAGAGGTCAGAGGTGAAGCCACTACCCATTACTCAGACGTTTGGAGGTCTGCTGATGGAATTGTAATTGTTACTGTCTGCTTTCAGCTCTGGGAACGCTTCACTTGCCATCCAGCTCGGGGTCCGAAGGAAGAGCTGACCCTTCCCGCACGGAGAGCTCAACATCCCAGGGTTCCCTGGAGAGAGGAAAGGGACTCCTGGAAGAAGTGACTGCGCACAGCCAAGTGGCTGCCACTTGGGTTTTAGGACAGTCCCCTCCTCCTGCTCTGGTGATGGGAGAAGAGATCACAGTCTTGGGGAAGAGAAACACCTCAGGCCCTGCGCTTTCCTGGCTGCTTTTCTCCAGGACTCCGGCTTCCTCCCCTCCCTCAGAGCCCTCCTCAGGTGAGAGCTTCTATCCCAGCCTCCCACATGGATGTCATCCAGAATAGAAGTAGTAGATGCACACAGCTCCCTAGTAACATCCTTGTCACAGGGGCTGAGGGGGAAAGGCATTAGGGACAAATGTGAAGTATTTGGGGGCAGAAGTACCATCTGTACAATGTATCTTTGTTCTGAAGTCCATCTTTAAAATATGTTTTCTTTAGCTGCATAAGGAGGAACGTTAGAATTGGTTTAATGGCTGCTACAGGCCCTTTGTGTCCACCATCCCCTGCTTGTCCCCCTCTCCCCACGTACACTGAGAGTTGTCAGTGTGTCTCCTTGCTTAAGAGGCCATGCTTTGGGGTGAGTGAAATGGTGAGTGTTGTGTCATTTGATTAGGAGTTAGATTTGTGTTTCTTCATCATTGCAAAATCGCTTCTTGCAATGGCAAAGATAATATAGATAGACATTTTTCTGGGTATCATTAAAAAAAAAACAAAGTGCAAAGTTAACAGATAGACATTTTTCTAGGTATCATTAAAAAACCACAAAAACAAAAACAAAGTGCCCGTATTTGCAAGACTGCGGGCAGTGGAGGATTCACCTCTCTGCCTCTTCAGCTCCTAGTCATCAGTTAAGCTCCACTCCCCGCCCCACTCACCCTCACCCCCGCACCTCCCCCACCCCTGCCCATGCAGGTATTCCCTTTCAGCAAGCCTGTTCTCAGCCCTCTGAGCCTATGTGCCGTCCACTCTGTTACACCAGGGTATCCAGCATCCATCTCCCCAGAGGCACTGTGATCCTCTTGAGGACCCAGGCTGTGTCTATCACTCTCTTAGGTTCCCTGCCATCTCAGACTACCGTAGGGTTGGTAAGTAATGGGGATTAGCACGTGCCCCAGTATCACAAGGCTCCTCCAGCCGCAGGCCAAAGAGAATGCTGGAAACTCTGTCTTTTCCCACCTCTGAGGTTTTATTCAGAATCCGTGTATGCTGCATGTGTTTTCATCCACATGCCTGAGGAAGCAGGACAGAGAGGGCTGGAAATCGTCTTGGAAATAGAGATTAGGTTGCCTCCGAAATTGCCGTTTCCAAATTTTCATAGGTCAGGATTTAGAGATATTTGAAAGACTAGGGGTTTGGGTTTATGTCACCAAAGCAAAAACTGAACCTGGATATCCTTTCTGGAATACCTAAAGCAGCAAGTTTCTCCTTTATATACTATGTATAGTTTCTGCTGACTGCATATGTATATAATTTATGATTCATGTCTTCAGGAGATTCCTTTTAAGATTATTCTTAAACATTGGTTAGATTGGATAAAAGCTATGAGCCTATTTCTAGCTTCAAAGGTCTGTGGTTCAGTGATTTACAACCAACTTTACTAAATGGTAGAAAGGAAGTGTTTTCTAGGAAGCTACACTTTGATTCTGGTCAAGGCCATTTAATATTTATATTTTAAATTCAACCCACTACTGTGGTTTATATTTTGAAAATCAGCCTGTGTTTCTAACTTTACTAGACTTGGCTCTGTCGTCATCTAGATTTTTCAACATTTAAAAAATTAGTTGGCCCTCAAGTTCCTTGAGCATTTGCCATTTTAGAACCTTATACTTGTAGGGGTGACTGACAGAGTCAGTGGACCATGTAACTCTTGATCTCAGGGTTGTAAGTTCGAGCCCCACATTGGGTATAGAGACTACTTAAAATAAAATCTAAAAAAAAAGAAAAAAAGAGGGGCACCTGGGTGGCTCGGTTGGTTGGGCAACTGCCTTTGGCTCGGGTCGTGATCCTGGAGTCCAGGGATCAAGTCCCACATCAGGCTCCCAGCTCCATGGGGAGTCTGCTTCTCCCTCTGACCTTCTTCCCTCTCATGCTCTCTCTCTCAAATAAATAAAAATCTTAAAAAGAAAAAAAAATAAAGAAAGAAAAAAGAAACTTATACCTTTAGTTTTTGAAGAGTTCTGCCATATCGTTCCTACTCCTTGAGTCTTTGACTCAGCATTTCTCTTCCTTTTTACTAACGTGGGTATTCTGTGCTATCTTGAGGGCCACCTCTTTAAAAAACTAGATGCTGCATCAGGCTTTAGGTGCTGCTAAATGAGGGAATGTTAAATGACCCATCTGGGTCTAGCCTGCCAGCCTCCCTGCTCCCTGGAGAGACTTGAAGCCACATGGGAAACACAGCTCTGTGGGGTTAGTAACGGCTCACCTGTGAACCAGAGCTCTGCTATACCTCCTACCAGCCCTTAAATCTACATCCTGGGAGCTTAGTATTGCGGCCTGGGCCTGACAGCGGAACAGAGGGGCGCGCGGGCGTGAGCTCTGAGAGCTAGCAGGACTTGCCCCAGGCAGACCTGGAGGCGCCTCGCCGGGCTGGCACTCTGTACAAGGGAAGCGAAGGGGGAGCGCGGCGGGTGGGAGGGGGGAGGTGTGCCTGTTGACACTTGGCAACTCAATCCACCCGTAAATGTGACCCAGAGAAAGTCCTGGCACTTAGAGCAGTCCCATGAGTTGTGCTCTCTTCAAAGTAAGCTTTCACGCAGCCGCCCGGAGCCTGGTCCAGAGAGGATGGGGCTCTCTAGGAGAAACATGAAGGGATTAGACCCCATGATCATAAAGATCCTTCCTAGCTCCAGCCTCTGTTACTCCCAACATACCCGGCCTTAGTATTCTGTGCTCCTGTCCCTCCTCGCTCTGCTACGAAGAAACAGGGATTCAGCACAACCTCATCTGCAGCGGGGCCAGCCAGGCATTCCCTGCTCCCCAAAATAAGTGATATGCCAGGAATGTATGCTTTAAAGCAGGTATAGGCCCAGACCGCTAAATCAGATTTTTAGAAAGAGATCAGGAGCCATTTGAAATGATTTTTCTTGCTGCTTTAGATCTTTCTGTACTTTCCACATGTTCTGCAAGGACCATGTGCTATTGGATCACTGGGGGGAAAATAAATAAGTAAAGCAACTAACAGGAAAAGTTCTCTTTTGAAGGCAGAAAGAGATATGTATATGTTGAATTGTGTGAGAATGGCTGCAGTTGAACACTAAATTTAGCCTTGAGCTTCCTGGAAACCAGGGCACAAAGGGAAACTGGGTGGGGCGCGAGACCATTGTCAGATAAAGTAAGCAGACAATTTCATCCCTAGGCAGGCATGTGTTGGGGGCCGTGAATGCTAAGACGACTGTTCATGTAAGGAGTGTTGAGAATCCTAATAGAAAATGCCTCCGATTGCTGTTTTGAGGAAATTGTGCTAACGATCTTTAAAAGGCAATATTTTATATAGATTCTCAGTAAGAGCTCAGGGTATAATAATGGATCTCAACTCATGAAAGTATGTCTGTGGGTGGCTGAGCCAGTGCGGTCCAGGTAAATTGCTTTGTGGTGATTTCACTTTGTAAAGGAAGAGAGCATAAATAACTCAGGAGATTGTAGATGTAGCATATCTTTCTCAACCATCAGCTGCTTCAGCTGGGTGTTTGGCAGGTCTTGGACAGCTGTCAGACCAAGGTTGAGCATTCGCTGCACGCCTGAGGTTCCAGCATTTTGTGCTGGGATTGGGGAGTGACCCATACACTTTTATCAGATGAGTGGGATATTCTTTATACCTCCTGTTCTAAAGATTAGGGAACTTGGCTCGTTTCTGCTCCCAAATGGATGGCCTTCCCATTTTTGAATGGGTGCTTCAGGGGTAGAAATGAGCAAGGGACGGTGGGTATTAAATAACCGATATTGCTGGCCCATTGATTAGAAACATGGTAAATTTCCCCCGAGATGTATTCAGCACAGAGACTAGTGTAAGGGGTGACTCTATGAGTTTGACCAACCATTCTCTCTTTCTGTGAAGAGTCAGCACTTGTATAGAAGTACTCAGTACAGAAGGACTCACAACTTTACTGTGAGAATTCAGAGGGATTATGTCTATCGAGTACTTACTTAGCACAATGTAGAAGGGTATATGTAAGACACTAGCACATCGAACTGGTCAGTAAATGGCAGCTTTTAATAATGGCAGTGAGATGATGAAGCAGTGTTCCACAGAGCCTTGGTCAGGGACAGCACAACCATCGTCCTTTCGTGGCCTTCAGCGTTTGTGACTTCCGTAACTGTGTGTCTGTGGCCATTGATTTGCTGTACAGGTACTCAGGCTGAGTCCAAGTTAACCACCACCGTGCAGTGATTCGATAAAATCCTGCAGTTGGCCAGGAATAGTGCTTTGAAAGAGCACCCAGCAACTGAGGAGCTTGTAACTTGGCAGGGTCAGACGATGACTCTAATGACGTGAGGCCTGAGAAGCTAAGTGGCTAGTGAGGCTTTGGGGCATGTCTATATTATGCATTCCTTTTTTTTTATACTAATGGATTTTTATTTGTTTGGTTTTGCTTTTAAGTAAGGGTGTGTTCAAGTAGGCTAGGACTCTATTTTGGGGTCCAGTCTATTTTTTTTTTTTTTGTTTCAGTCACTAGCTGTGTGGATTGCTCGCGTCTTCGATTTGCTTTCCTTAAGGCCCAGTGAGCAGAGCTGCAGGCTGTGTTCTAGGCGTAGCTGGTTCTGTGGTTTGTATAAGAGTCAGAGGAACCTTTGTGTTTCCTGTGCTCCCCCTCTCTCTAATTATATTTAATATTTATTTGTGCTTTTGGTCACAGCTGCACATAGGACTGGTCTTCAAGGAACCATTTTTTTTTAAGATTTTATTTATGCATTTTAGAGAGAGAGTGCAAGCAGGGGAGGAGCTGAGGGAGAGGGAGAGGGAGGGGGAGAGAATCTCAAGCAGACTCTGTACTGAGCATGGAGCCTGATGCGGGACTCAGTCTCACAACCCTGAGATCAGGACCTGAACCAAAACCAAGAGTCAGACACTCTACCAACTGAGCCACCCAGGTGCCCCTTTAAGGGACCATTTATAATGAGAACTTAATTCTTCCCTTTCTGGGTCGTAAATAACAGCTTGAAACCTTTCATTATAAAAGTATAAAGTACTTTTATTATTTTTGGCTTAAAAAGAAAAATGTTTTTTCTTGCCTTTGGATCTTGCCAGCCATGTTTCTTCCCACTCACCATGCTTTCCTGTGGTTTATTCCTGTTTGGAATGAGAACCTCAGGGTGCCCTTCTGGAGGCCAGTTCTTAGGGTGTCCTTTGGAAAGTTCTTTGTGGAAAGGAGCCATTAGCAAGCCACTTTACTTCTGTGGAACAGACTGCGTATTTTGACCAAAATGGCCTATAACTCAATTTTTGAGGCTCTTGACAATTAATACCGGTGTCTGCCATCCTTTTCAACAAAAAAGTGTTCCCATCCTGGAGTCCTTGATCTCCCAGGGGCCCACTGGCGTGGTATGTAAGCTTGAGAGCCGGTCTCCAAAGCCTCATGAGGCTGACTGTAATTATGGGACCTGTTCACTTTTGGATGGAATTAAATCAAATCAGTGTGGTAACATTGAGTATATCTTGCTAACTCGAAGCTCTGTTACTTCTTTTTTTTTTTTTTTTTTAAGATTTTATTTATTTGACAGAGAGAGAGATCACAAGTAGGCAGAGAGGCAGGTAGAGAAGAGGGGGAAGCAGGCTCCTTGCTGAGCAGAGAGCCTGATGTGGGGCTCGATCCCAGGACCCTAGGATCATGACCTGAGCGGAAGGCAGAGGCTTAACCCACTGAGCCACCCATGAGCCCTTGTTCTGTTACTTCTTAAATGCAGTTCAGTTAATAGTCTTTCAAAACCTCAGGTTTACATGGCAGTGAGGTGGGAAAAGTAGAGAACGCTTGATGCGGACAAGGGCTGGAATTACTGCCCTAGGCTAGTATTATTCCCGCTGTGGTCTGCAGAGCCCTGGCCTCCCCAGGGGTGGCCTGGGGGCAGGGCTTCTGTAACTGCCTTACTTTTATTCATTTATATATTTGGATTTTAATCTACAACAGCAGTTTGAACAAAAGGATCACATGGCTAAAATGAAGCAAAACAAAAACCTGTACCTTATCACGATGGCCACTCCCTGTATAATCTCTAAACTGGAATTCCAGAGTAGAAGTTTTTTCCTTCCTCTATAAAAACCAAGGCAAAGAATGTCTAGAGGCTTTCTCCCATCTTCCTTTCAGCTAGAGCCAAAGCTTTCCACTGTGCTAAGTGAAGGACCTCACCACTTCCTCACTTAGCTCTTTGAGAATCAGAGCCCGTGAAGAGAGAGCGTCAGATGTGTTTATCTATATTTAGGTCCACATTATCTAGATTTATGCAACAAAAGGTATTAAGCATTATTTGTATCTAGATACATCCCTGATTTTCTTAAATACCGGAGTAGTGTTAAAGCATATTTTCTTCCATTTTAGCTTCCGGAAGCACAGAGGAGCTAAACAACTCCACCATTCTCCCAAGTGCCTTGGCGAGTCAGAGAGCGAACGAGCGTGTCGCCACCACGCTCCCCACTGGTGTCCCCAGGATGCTCCCGTCTTTAACCGTCAGTCTGCAGCCCCTAAATGAGACTGAGAATTTCCCCAAGGACTCCGAAATTGCCAGGACTTCAGTATCGGCCCATTCTTCACCCTTTGAAGCAGGGTTGCAAAGAAATAGGGAAATAATCAGGAATCCAGGAAATGGGGAATTCATCGAGCCGTCCACAGAAAATGGATTTGGCCTTGCATCTTCCCGGGTCTCTGTGGGATTCTGGCAAAATGATTCCCCAAGTAAGTATTTAATCTTCACTTGATCTCTTATGGACATTTAAAAAACTGTTGAGGGGCACCTGGGTGGCTCAGTGGGTTAAAGTCTCTGCCTTCGGCTCAGGTCATGATCCCAGGGTCCTGGGATGGAGCCCCGCATTGGGCTCTCTGCTCAGCAGGGAGCCTGCTTCCCCGCCCCCTCTCTCTCTGCCTACTTGTGATCTCTGTCTGTCAAATGAATAAATAAAATCTTTAAATAAATAAATAAAAATAAAAAACTGTTGGTTTGTCTTGAAAGATGGCTTCACGACCATTTGCCATCTCAAAAAAATTAAATAAATAAAAGGGAGTGTATTCTCAGCTAACGCCATCTCCTCTGTCTGGTACACCACATTATCACATTTTTATTTTCATCCTTATGAGAACATTGTGAAGTCCGTCAGGCATCATGCCTCCTGCTTTTTTACAGGCGAGGAAACAAGCTCAGAGAGATGAAGGAGTGAGGGTGTGGTCCTATCGCTTGATTAGAGCAGAGTCAAGAGCTCGTCCTCGGAGCTGGCCCTGTGGATGGCTTCTTAGCACCTGTGGGATTGTCCTCAGTGAGAGCAGGCCTGTTCTTTCAGACTAGCTGGAGTTAGATTATGCACAGATTGTTCTTCCAAATAACACGTGCAGATAAAAGTATAGTCCTTCAAATTCATCGTTTCAGTATCCGCCCTCTTGTTTATTTTTTGTTTGCTATACTTGAAAATTAGAATTACTAGTGGGAAAAAAAAAAAGAATTTCTAGTGGAATTGCTTGAGAAGAATGCCTCTGAGCAAGCCCTTTATTTGGGCACATCATCTATGTTGGACGTAACCCCCTCTGTCCTTTGACCCCTTTGGGGGAAAGACAAGAAAACACCCAAGCCTGTAAGTTACTCCACTACCTAGCACATTCTCTTTAAAAGCTCCCTTCTTGGGGCGCCTGGGTGGCTCAGTGGGTTAATGCCTCTGCCTTCGGCTCAGGTCATGATTCCAGGGTCCTGGGATCGAGCCCCGCATGGGGCTCTCTGCTCAGCCCGGAGCCTGCTTCCTCCTCTCTCTCTGCCTGCCTCTCTGCCTACTTGTGATCTCTGTCTGTCAAATAAATAAATAAAATCTTAAAAAAAAAAAAAAAAAAGCTCCCTTCTTCACCAGCGCTTATTTTTAGTATTGCTATCTTATTGACATCGAAAAGGTTTAAAATAATTATCTAGACTGTGAAAATGCCTGTCAGGCTACCCATATAATATATACTCTACAAGGTCCTCCTGAAGGGGATCTTTGCTTACGGAGGATGCACGTCTCAGTTGTTGGGGAATCTCTTTCCCATCTGTGTCATGGCCTTTGTTTCCCTGACCCCTTCCAGCCTTCGGAGACCAGCTTGCCAGGAGCTCGGAGGCAGAGCTGGGAAGCCCCATGTCTCAGACCGAGGCCACGTCCAGGCCTGTCCCATCGGGCAGAAGCAGAGACAGCACGGCGCGCTGGTTCCTGACCAACAGCAAGACATCTGCAGATGTGACAGGAAGCTCTACTTCCTATCCCGAAGTTGTGAACGCCTCAGTTTTGACCCACTTCTCAGCCTCTGCCCCCCAGTCTAGAGGAAGTGACAGAGCGCCGGGCCAGAGGAACTACGCTGAACCGGCTACCGAGTCGTTGTCCTCGTCCTCCTCAGAGAGCCTGGATTCCTCAGCTCCGCGTGGTGAACGCTCAAGTGAGTGTTCCCTTCACAGGACCGCACCCCCCGGAGGGCGGAGGGACCGGTCACAGAGCCGCTCCGGAGGCCCCTTTGCTGTAGTCATTCCCAGGCCATTCTTCCAGCTGTATAGCCCCACTTTTTTCCTGGTTCATCTCCCAGGAGTTAATCTTGCCACCGGCCCCTCCCACACACAGATCACCATGTCCTTCTGTCCCCTGCAGCCCACCCCACACCCCCAGACCTGCCTTAATCACACAGCTTCTGGAAGGTCAAAATCTCACCTTCTCAGGCACTGTTGTTCACCCCAGGCCTGGACATTCCTCAAGAGCAGCTCTCCCTCCCCCTTGTTTAAACAGCTTTAGGGAGATAGAATTCATATTCTGTGCAGTTTGCCCAAACGGTACATTTCAGTGGCTTTTGGTGTATTTGCAGAGTCGTGCAGCCAGCACCGCTAATTCCAGAAGGCTTCCACTGCCCCAGAAAGAAACCCGGTGTTCATCAGCGCTCGCTCCCCATCGTCTCCTCCTACCGGCTTCTGACAACCACTAACTTACTTTCTGTCTCTGCAGATTTGCCTATTCTAGACAGTTGTTGGGTTTTTGTTGTTGTTGTTGTTGTTGTTTTTAAGATCTATTTATTATTTGACAGAAATATATAGAGAGCACAAGTAGGCAGAGCGGCCGGCAGGGGGAGAGGGAGAAGCAGGCTCCCCACTGAGCAGGGAGCCCGGCACTGGGATCATAACCTGAGCCGAACAGACGCTTAACCAACTGAGCCACACAGGCACCCCTGTTCTAGAGAGTTTGTGAATGAAATCCTACGACCCGTGGCCTTTTGTGATTTTCGCTCTGCATACCATTTTCAAGGTTCATCCCTGTTGTGGCCTGTGTTAGTACTTCCTTCCTTTGTATGGCTGATTTGCCACACTGAGTTCATCCTTTCATCAGTGATCGCACGTGTGGGGCTTTCCCACCTTTTGTCCATTGTGAATAATGCCGCCGAGAACATTCTGGTACGAGTTTTCATATGGACGTGTTTTACATTCTCTCGGAATGGCTGGGTTATAGGGTAGCTTTGTATTTAACCTTTGAGGAATCGTCAAACTGCTTTCCAAAGTGACTGCACCATTTCATATTGCCACCAGCAAGGTGGGAACGTTCCAGTTCCTCAGGGCCCTCCCCCAGCACCTACTGCGGATCGCCTGTTGTGACGATGGCCGATGGCTGTCCTCCTGGATGTGAAGTGGCATCCCAGGCAGTTTGGATTTGTATGTTCGAGCTAATGACATTGAGGGTTTTTTCACTTTGGGGAAAGTCTACTCCAATAGGAGTTTCTTTCTATAGTGTCTGGATCTGGTATTCCTAGTCCTCTATCAGATACTCCATTTGCAGACGTTTTCTCCCATTCTGTGGGTTTTCTTTTTAGTTTTCTGACAATATCATTTTTTGCAGCACAAAGGTTTTTAATTTTGATGAAGTCCAATTTATCAATTTGAGAACACTCTTTCTTTGATGGTCCTTTTTAATAATGTTTTTGGGTAATTTTACCAACAATTCTCAGCCACCTTGTGAAGGTGAAGTATGTGCTGAATGACGCAAAAAATGCAGCAATTTACCATTGAAGCAGATAAGGGGCTTAAATCCGTACCTCTCTGCCACTGATAATAGGGGCTCCATTTGCCTCATATGAACGTCTTAATTGATGGGGAAAATTAGCATTTATTGCTACTGATGATGGAAAAGCACATGCTTATTATGAAAGAGTACTACATGTATGGGTGGGGAATATTTGTGCTTTTTCACGTATGTGCAAGCTCTGTCTCCTAGACAAAAGGGTTCATTTTCCACCCTCACAACGTGGGGCTCAGAGTTTTCTCCTTCTCAAACCGGGAGCTTAGGTGCCATGCCCTTTCCTGTGTGCATCTCCTGAGTACCAGTACCCTTCACTCCATGGTGCGTGCTCAGTGGGTTTGTGTGGGAAAGGTGATCTCAGGGTGAGCAGGTCTTAGGGTTCAGAGAAGGAATAGCCTCATTCCCAAAACCAGCTCACAGTCGGTTCACCTAATGCTCTATCTCGTTTGCTCTGAATCAGTCAAAGCAGACTCCTTCTGCCATTCAGCCTTTCAGAATTCTCAGTCTGTTCCTTTTTCTGGGCTTGGAGGCAGCCCCCGGTTTCAGGCCACGACTCTCTGCTTTCTTAACTCTGTAAGCCTGATGGGGTTGTTTGCCTAAACTCCATTTAAGAGTCTTGTAATCTCCCCAGCCTGGACCTTGTCCCCTCTGCCCAGGGAACTTGTACTCAGATACACTCAACCCTCAAGCTGCGACTTCCCATGGGTCTCTTAAGCCCTTTAGCTTGGTCAGGTCACGTCTCTCCCTGCTTCCTGGCTGTCTGAGCACTTGCTGTGTATCCCTGTCCCCTGACTCATTCCTGCCATTTAATGCAGATCTACGAGGAAGAGAGCTTACCTAACATGCAGCTTTACCTATGTTTTCCATGAGGTTTTAAGAGCTAGTTTGGGGGCACCAGGCTGGCTCAGTCAGTAGAACATATGACTCTTGATCTCAGGGTCATGAGTTTGAGCCCCATGTTGGGTGTAGAGATTACTTAAATAAATAAACTAAAAAAAAAAAAAAAAAAAAAAGAGCTAATCTGGTCTGGGAATAGGACTAAGAACTGGGGAAAGAACTTGTTTTCTCCGGGCGCCTGGGTGGCTCAGTGGGTTAAGCCTCTGCCTTCAGCTCAGGTCATGATCTCAGGGTCCTGGGATTGAGCCCCGCATCGGGCTTTCTGTTCAGCAGGGAGCCTGCTTCCCCCTCCCCCTCTGCCTGACTCTCTGCCTACTTGTGATCTCTCTCTCTGTCAAATAAGTAAAATTTAAAAAATCTTTAAAAAATAAAAATTTTAAAAAAAGAACTTGTTTTCTCATAGAACCAGATTATGCAGATTTAGGCTAGGAATAGTTGGACCTCATTTCCATAATTTCTGAGAAGAGTTTATTTGATAGTCTAATATATGAGCCTTCAAGCTTGTAGCATAAAACATACACCCAAGAAAGGAGAAAAAGGATATTTATTCACGCATCACCTGTCCCATTCTCACCAAGAAAATAAATGCATTAAGAAAACAAAACTTGGGGTATCTGGGTGGCTCAGTCAGTTAAGCATCTGACTCTTGGTTTTGGGCTTCAGGTCATGATCCTAAGGGTCATGAGATTGAGCCCTACATGGGGCCCTGGTCTTAGCGGGAAGTCTGCTGGAGATTCTCTCTCTCCCTTCCCACTGCCACTCCCCCCACCACCTGCTTGTACCTGTGCATTTGGGTTTTTTTTGTTTTTTGGTTTTTTTATTATTTTATTTATTTATTTAATATACAGAGATCACAAGTGGGCAGAGAGGCAGGCAGAGAGAGAGGAAGGGAAGCAGACTCCCTGCCGAGCGGAGAGCACCATGTGGGGCTTGATCCCGAGACCCTGGGATCATGACCTGAGCCGAAGGCAGAGGCTTTAACCCACTGAGCCACCCAGGTGCCCCATACCTGTGCATTTGTGTGTGTTCTCTCCCTCTCTCTCAAATAAATAAATATTTTTAAAAATTAAAGAAAAAGAACATAGAACAGAAAATAAGCTCATCTTTAATCTCCAGCCACCGTGCATTTCTCACTGATGCGTTAAGGGAAAAAACTAATGCTCTAGAAGAACGATAAGCCCCATGTCAGTTCCGGCCCTCCCAGGAGGAAAAAGCCTTCTGAGTAATGAGGGCAGGGATCTCCCTCCTGGACCTCATCAGAAAATCTAAAACCCCTGTGGGCCAGTCAGTCTTTTGCTGGGCATCCCCCAGCCCCACTGCCACCACCAGTTTCCTTGACATAAGCTCTATTATGTATCCCCGAGCAGAAATACAGTATCGATCCTGTTCGCCGAAGTAGTAAACCTTCCCAGCAGTCCCAGTCGCCTGAATGGGTATGCTGATCTGCGGTGCCTCTCAAGGTTTTGGTCCTGAGACGGGTTTGCAGGGAGCACCACATTGTGGTTTCTCACGTGGGGGTGTCAAGAAAGACCCGGGAAGGGGCCCCTGGGTGGCTCAGTGGTTTAAAGCCTCTGCTTTCGGCTCAGGTCATGATCCCAGGGTCCTGGGATCGAGCCCCGCATCGGGCTCTCTGTTCGGCAGGGAGCCTGCTTTCCTTCCTCTCTCTCTCTGCCTGCCTCTCTGCCTACCTGTGATCTCTGTCAAATAAATAAAAAAAAATAAAATTAAAAAAAATTAAAAAAAAAAAAAAAAGAAAGACCCGGAAAACCCAGGTCACTCCTGGGACTCCTGCACGGTGCTGCTGCTCCAGACCAGCGCTGACCCGCCATCTCCTTTCAATCCCCTTGCAGCCACTGAAGACGGTCCAGGGCCCGGAGGCAGTTCTGAGGTGGAGGAAAGGATGTCCCAGGCTCACCTCCCGCACACCTCAGCTACTTTCACCGGGAATGGAGAGCGCACACTGCGGTCCCTCACCAACGCCAGCACGACTTCAGGGGAAGTGGGGCACTCTGTGATAGTGCCCAGAGAAACCGAGAGCGCCACCCAGCATGGGAACGTGACCGTGACGGGTGACACCCGCTTGGTCTCAGGTTCCCTGGCAGCCTCGCCAGCCCTGGGAGGTGAGGAGCAGGAACTCTGCCCACATCCCTTCAGCTCCCCTGTCAGTGTACCTACAGTCCTAAAATGATCAAGTTTGCTGTCAACCCAGAAAGTACCTTAGAAGCTCTGTCCAAAGAGAACTTTCTGGATTCTCCCACTTCCCCCCACTTGCCTCCGCCATGTGTAATGTTGTCTGCCAGGATGCCTGGAATAAAGGAGACCAGCCAGTCGTGGCCAAAGTCAATCTCCTGGGAAAGAAATATCTCATTATCATTATATGGAATGGAAAATTGGGAGGGTTTTCCTTTTTCCATTTAGACATAACAATTGTTCTATTGGGGTCTTAAGAGCTTTTTAGATACCAGTTTGCTTTTATCAAAAAAAAGCATGTGGAAGGAATTTGGACCCATTCCCTCTTCTTCAGCCACTGGCCCCACTTCTCTTTTATTACCGTTTCCATTGCTGCCTCCCGCACTCCTCCCAGGTGGTAAAAATCCTCCGCACAGACTCTGTGCGTTCCCACCTGCCCACACCACCCCTCCAGAATGCTCGCCACCAAAAACTGTCTCTCCAAGGAAAGCATTTAGGGTGTGTTTGGGAGATTTCTTGTTTGTCGAGTTGACCTAACTTTGGTTTTCCACTTGCAGTCACCGGAATTAGCTACAATCAAGTGAGTGGCACGGATATGGAACAGGGGACTTCCAGTGACTACACAGACCACACCTATGTCTCATCCACTTTCACCAAAGGAGAACGGGCATTGCTTTCCATTACAGACAACAGTTCATCCCCGGACTTAAGGGAGAGTTCTACCTCTTCTACTAAGATCTCAAACTCTTCACTTTCAGACTCTTCTTCCTCGTCTCAAGCTCAGACTGGAGGAAGGAATGTGTCATCCTATGACAGGGAGTATGCCCAGCCTTCCACTGAGTCGCTGGCTGTGCGCACAGCCAATGTTCCCTCCTACACACCCACCATCAACAGGCCCAACACTTTGGTTCTTCTGGACACTGATGCTGCATTGACTCATGACTCCTCCTCTTCTTCTTCTTCTTCTTTGGGCCCCCCTTTGCCCCTGCCCTCAGTGTCCCAGTCCCACCAGTTGTTCTCATCAGTCTCACCATCAACCAGGGCCTCTGCTCTTCCACTGCAGTCCATTCCTGATGCACCCAAGCCCATGTCTTCCTCACCACCGCCCTTACCAGTATCTCTGACGGCATCTACCCCTGCCTCACCATCTGCCTCCCAAACAACCCTACCACCTTCACCTCCTACCCTGGTCCTGCCCAGGGCAAGAGACACTCCTGTGACCTCAGTTCAGACTGAGACAACAGCATTATCTGTGGCAATGCTCCCCAAGAGTCAAACAGCAGATCCTAAGAACCAGAGTAACCCATACCCTGAGAAAGTCATTACAGAATCAAAGCCACCAAGCCCAGAGTCTCTGCCCACAGAGGCCACTGAAGCTGTAACAGTGAGGTCTACACCAGGGATCCCTAGGCCCTCGACCTTAACAGAGTCCTCCACTCAGCAAACCCTTCCAGCCACGAGCATCAGCATACCCCAGACGTCTCCAGCTTTGACAACCACCATTCTCCAGACCTCTCATCCTTTCAGCCTTGTGTCAACCAGAGCAGCTCCGATGGCTGACCCCACAATAGTACAGACTACGGCTGAAAAACAGCTCTTGCCAACCAGCCCTGAAATCCCAGCACTGCAGATCTCCACAGAAAGGGCTGTCACCACAGAAAGGAGCCAGGTGCATGGAAATGCTACCAGCCAATCGATCCCCCTGACCAGTGTACCCACATCAGTGAAAGGATTGACCCCAGGGCCTGATGTGATGGAAGAGTACAGCCCGGTTTCACATCTCCTCAGAACATCTCCTCTCCCAGTCACACACATTTCCACAGATGACGTATTGACTCCTAAATCTACCATCTCCGCTGCTCAGAGCAGCACGCAGTCACCAGAAGTGTCATCGCCAGCCGCAGGTAAAAGGCAGTTACACAAGCACACTGTGGACTGCACAGGCATGGGATTTGTGGGCACGCGGGGTAAGGGCTGCTCTCTGCAGTAGGTCGGAGTCTGGGCTGTCACCTCGTCCGATAATGTCATGGCAGTCCTCTTCGTCTCACCTCAGAGTTCCAGAACTCTTCTAAAGCATGAGGGGTGGATGCCGTTGGCTGTGTGTGGTATCTATAGATAGTCCTAGTGTAGCTTGTAATGCCCCAAATGGCAAGAGTCTTTTAAGGTACCTTGAAGTCTTCCGAGGCTGGAGCAGGGAAGTGATGTGGGAACTGACTTTGGAAACACTGCACTCGAGAAGCTTCAGGTGACCTTTCTAAGACACGGAGTGATTACCCCCTGCTCCCGGGTCAGAGCCCTGAGCTTCTCTTCTCAGTCGCTGGGAAGGCTTCTCTGGATCCAAGGGAATTCTAGGCTCCTTGGTCTTCCTGGGAGTGTGTTGCTAGTTGACAAATGTAGGAAAGGGACATGTTCCATAAAAGGATGCTGAACAGATGTTTTCCGGTAGTGATAGGGCAACCCGAGCCATTTACACTGCCCTTGAGCTTATCTTTCTATTAGTGTGAAAGTGGACAGCACGGGAGAAATAAAGCCATTTGTGTGACTCTTCATAATTTAAGGAAGAGTGGAAGGAATTAGAGTGAAAGATCTTTCAATGTCATGTTCAGAATTGTACCTTTGGCTTGTCCAGACCCGAGGAAGGAACACTGCTATTGGTGCAGGGCTGACAGGGAGACTGACAGCCTTAAGGAAGGAGGAAAGAAGAGAACGCTTTGTAGCGACTAGAGCAGGGAGCTCAGTCAGGGTCCTAGTTCCGGCCAGTCGGCCACGGCCAGCCAAAGGGCAAGAGGGCCATCACCACCCCTGCTGCCAGCCCCCCGTGCCCGGCACATTGATCCCTTCTTTGTGCCAGCAACCCGAGTATCTCTGGGACACAAAAAGTAGACTCTTCTCTGGGGAGGCTGGGAGACCTGCTTCGGGACTCCAGGAGGAGCGTCATTTCCTGCCAGATATATTCCAGGACCAGACAGAACATAATTCACAAATCTCCTTTAGAGCCGATTATGGTCATTACAATGATAACTGTAGGGCAGAATTAACAGCATCATGGCTGGCTGTCAGGAGGGTTTTTCTGACAGTGTCAATGGGACAGAGTTTGGTTTTGAAGGGGCCGTGCTCCTGTCAGTGATTTTAGGGATACATAAAGCAGCCTTCTGGAATAGGAACACCGTCTTTATGGTTAGCTTGTTTGTTTGGGGTTTGTTTGGGGTTTTTTTTGGTGTTACAACTCTTGACTTCGGCCTCCTTTTTCTCCTTCTACCAGCGATTCTTCTACTTGGAAGTGATGCAGTTATGCTATGGGTTTCGACTCTCCTGAGCATGTGGCATAAGTCTTTAGTAGGCTTTCATTACATACCTGGAGCATGACAGTGCTGGTTCTCGACACCAGAACCCAGAGTTCTGGTCTCTGCTCTGGGAGCTGGGAGTCTAGGGGAACAATGAAGCCTGGGTGCCTTTAAGGCCTAAATGAGCCAGAGAGGGCTCATCATTACATTATGGAAAAAGGGCACCGGAGTGTCCCACTTTGATGTTTTTCCAAATGATGGCACCATATGTGGAGCCCCGGTTATATTTTGATTTTTGTTTTTTTGTTTGTTTGTTTGTTTTTGGGAAGGGGAGAATCCTGGAGCAGGGAGGATGGTTAGTCAGGGACTTCTTTCCCCTGATGTGTGTTTTAAATTGGTATGGATTCAGGTAGACTTGTCTAAGTGTCAAAGACAATATAACCATCAGTCCTCAACCCAGCGACCTGTAAGCATGTCAGCAGCATCTCGATTTGAACCGGTTTTTGCGTCCAGGGGTCTAGACACATGTCTAACACATGTCTACCACTAAAGTAGAACAGGTTCCCAGGAACTAGCACCAGGGTCCCGTCCCCACCGCACCTTTTCCGCACCTCTTGGGAACCTGTTCTATTTTAGTGGTGTGACCTTTCGGGGTAAGTCAACAGAAATAAGTAAAAATCAAATATTAGCTGGGAGAATTAAATATTTACCTAGAGCTGCTTTTACATTTCCTCCATGATTAACTGCTTTATTCTGGGATGTGTTTTTAGTTAACAGCTGTGCCGTGAACCCTTGTCTTCACGACGGGAAATGCGTCACAGACCCCAGCACCGGCCGTGGGTATCGATGCAGGTGCTCACCCTCCTGGCAAGGGGATGACTGCAGTGTGGGTAAGAGCAAAACTCACCCCCAGCGGTCTGTACCACACTACCTCATTGAAATCAGCAATGACACTATTTCCCTTCAAACTAGAGGAGGGTAGGATTTTTTTTTCTTAATTAATACCCTGCCGATTGGAGAGTCAGCATGCTTATGTGTTGTCTGCAAAGTAAGGTCAGATAGTAACGTTGACAAGCCTCCATGATCTGGCTCCATTCTTTGGGCCTCCTACACCCGTGCCACACTGGACCACCTACAGCTCCCTAAAAACCCCTCCAGCTTCCCCACCTCCAGCCTTCACTTCGCTGGTGCCTCAGCCTCCCCACCCACCCATCTGCTTGTTAAAGTCTTTCCAGTCTTAGTTCAGATGTTATTTGCGACAGTCCTTAATTCTCCCTCCCGTCGAAATCTTCCTCTCTCTCTGCACTTTCAAATCCTGGTTTGTATTTATGTCATCTGTCCACACAGCTGCCTCCACCCTCAACAGATGGGCAACCCCTGGAGGACAGGGTAGCATCCTTCTCATCGCTGGGCCCCAATGCGCCTAGTGCCATTTGGCTCTTAGGAAGTGCTTACTGGACCGGATAATGATTTTGCTGTCTGCCGCGGATTCAGTATGGCCCTGTTTGCTCTCCTCTGCAGATGTGAATGAGTGTCTCTTGAACCCCTGCCCACCCCTGGCCACATGCAACAATACTCAGGGATCCTTCACCTGCAAATGCCCGGTTGGCTACCAGCTGGAAAAGGGAATATGCAATCTGGGTAAGAGAATGAATCTACCTTGGAATGTATCCTGCACCACAATGTATTTTTTAAAATAACCTTTATTGTTTTCCTCCCTAAACAATATGGGTATTTGTCCAAGGCATAAACTTTTAAGGAGTATAGAAAGAAGTGAAATTGCTACCTATTTTTTAATCACTCAAAGACATAGCGCCTTATTTGCAATCTTTTTTAGTGTGCCCTGTATTTTTATATAGTTGAAACCATGTGGTATTTGTACAAACTTTATATCTTAAACATTTTTCCATATTACCAAAAATATCCCAAGGACTACACGGACATGCCATTATTGGCTCACAACACTATTTGCCTAACCATTCCACCCTGTAGTTAGGAAAAAATATATATCAAAGGGATCTTCTAAGTACATAGTAATAAAAAAAATTTTTTTAAGGGAGAAAAAAGAGAGAATAAAACCCTGATTATCTTACTGCATTCACACATTCATTTGTAAAAAGTGATCTTCACAGGCCTGTCCATAGGCAGATACATTTTTATAAAGCTGCTGTAATTGGACCATTACAGTCTGTCCTATTTCATTTCCTAATTTGCTAGTCTTGAAACTGGTTGATTTTGGATATACTCTCCAGTTTACAGGTTAAAACGCAAACACAAATGAAAACTAAGGTCCTGACAAGGTGCTAAGTGGCCAAGTTTATGCACCTGTTTGCTGAGAGGCTGCATTCCAGCCCACAGCTCTCATCACATAATAATGTGTTCATCAGAAGAGCTTCCTTGCACATAGGGTCTAACCCTGCTTTAGAGTGCTGAGTTCAACACGTAACTTGAAGAAATGAGAAGTGCGGAACGTAGAGTTATCTAAGCGGGATAGGGAAACTGGCAGGTAAAGTGACTCATCTTTGAATCATCTTCAGTTGAACAGTGTGATACTTAACGTGCAAAAAGTGCTCAGTAAATACCTTTTTGAGAGAACAAATGTCTGTGACATTTGCATGAATGCCTGTTGCCCGCGGGCTGAGGGGAATCATCAGATATTTTAGGAAGGTTGTGTCAGATGACAAAACCCAAATGGTTAGGTAATGAGTTTGATGTCCTTTATTTAAGGGAGAACCACCATGGCCTGGGGGAGTCTGGGGTCTCACAGGCAGTGGAGCTCTCTCCCTCAGAGGGCTTTGGGTAAGGATGAGTCTGTAGAGGGTTAAAAGCTTGGTCACTTCTGAAACAGGACTTGATTGGCTAGGGTTACCTATCTGACCTTATTTAGAAGGATCAAGGACAAGGGAGTAAGTACCGGGCCCAGAAGTGACTTGGTGTTGGGGGCTTGGCTGACTGCATCCACGATGTTCTGGTCCCGGGGAACATTTATAGAACTGGAAAGTTCATTTCGCTGACATGGCACCCTGGGGGAAAGCAGGTTCGTTCTGGGCCTCGAAATTTATTTCAAATACTTGGTACCCTACTAAATTAATGGTAGAATTTTGGAAATGGTGTAAAATACAAGGATCAAGTCAAAGCATTATTAAAGAAAAAACAATCTAGGCCTCTAGACATCTGTTAAAATCAAGAACTCCTCTTTCTCTATTAGCTAACTTGCTTTTGGGTAACCTATTCCATTTTGCTACACCCTGGTAGAAATAGGCCTGGAGGCTTTGGTTTAAGAATGGAGAAGCTGGGGTGATCTTGTTTTGAACCAGTGTGAAAATCGCCCCTGCCATTAGCCCCGCTGCCCGGCTTCCAGCTCCAGAGCCACCGGCGATGGCACAGAAGCCCTCAGCCTCAATGTTCTCATCTGTAAAATCAGATTACCACCTGCTCTGCTTCCCACTCAAGGTTATTGTGAAGATCAGATAAAATAAAGTATCTGAGCCAGCTTGGAAAATGGTAGAGTTCTCCAGATGGGAAGTATCATTTAACATTTAGTCCCCAACCTCTTGGACCAGAATTGAAAGCAATGAAAACACCAGGTACTCAGAATACAAAGTAATCATCATGGATCTTTCCAAAAAAAAAAAAAATCATTGATATAAAAAAGAGAGAGAGACAAACCAAGAAACAGACTCTTGACTCTAGAGAACAAGCTGATGATTACCAGAGGGGAGAGGGTAAGAGGAATGAGGGAAACGGGATGGGGATGAAGAAGTGCCCTGGTCCTGATGAGCTCCGAGTAATGTACAGAATCGTTCATTCGCCTTAGTGTACATCTGAAACTCATATGACAGTATGTTCCTTCTACTGGAGTTGGAATTTAAAGCTTAATGAAATAAAAAACAAATAATTTAAAATATCATTTGTATCACCGATGTAAATCCACAGTTGAGCATGAAGTAGAAAATTGCCTTTAAGCCAGGTGAGGTAAAGTAGGCACAAAGATGTCCATGTGCTGGGCAGGGGGTGGCGGCTGGAGGATGGTGTGATGCCGTTTTCACAGCTGCACTGAAAGCAGAGGCCACGTTTACTGTCCTGGTTCAGAAGAGGTCTGTGTACTTAACATTTACAAGATGTGTATTTCCATCCCGGGAGTCTGGGTATCAGCCTGGACCAGGGAGAAGTGTAGATGAAGGAGTGGGGTGGTAGTTCTGGAAGCCTGTGTGCTCAGGGTCCCCCAGGCACCTCAGATCAGGAGGAGGAGAGCCGAGAGAGCCGAGAGAGCCGTGCTTTTGTGTTAACAATCATCTTTCCCTTTTCAAGTCATTTAGCTTCATTGTTCATAAACATCAGAGGAACATGCAAATTAGAGCACGCTGAAATGCTTTCATTTGGCCAAGAATGTTTTCAAAGAGCTCCCTGCTGTTCAGCAAGAGTCCTGAGCAGCTGGCTTCACTGAACTGTAGAACAAGCAAAAAGATGTTAAATAAGGATTAAGGGCTTTAGACAGTAAGTATAAGATGTTAAATGTGTTCCCTGGCTCATTTGTGGGCCTTTTTCTTAATTCCACAGGCAAGCTTTCTGTGAAGGAGCAGCCTTATGGGTTCCTGTGCTTTGGGTCTTTTTTCCCCCCCTGTCCAGAGGGAAAGATAAGAATTTAATATAAAGGAAGATAAGAGGCAGATATAAAGCAGGCTATACTAATTGTTGGTCGTCTGCCCATTTTTAAGTTCCATTCCCCCTCAGGCCCCATCAGCACAAATTGATGGTAAATACAAGTTTACTTTATGCGTGAAATGGACCTTGAAAGAAAGGCTGCTTTCTTTCAGGCCTGAACTCAACAATATTTTGAATTTGGGGCATGTGCATTGCCTGGCTTGTGACCATGGGGCCTGGCAGCCTCCTGAGTGCCGGCACACCACAGATGTTAGGCACCTTCCTCCACATCCCCTCAGTTGTCCTGAATCAGTGAGCTGATTTCTGGAAGTGTCTTTCATCAGTGATAAAGTGGGCATTTCCTGTGAGTGAGAGGGTTGGGGGCTGATGGGGTGATGCTGACCAGAAGAGGAAACCAAAGCATGCCCTTGAAGCTGAGGGCTTCACAGCATGGGCCTAAAGGACAAGGGTGGTGCTCTGTGGAGAGCTTTCTCAGGCCTGACCCTACATCTCCTCCCTGGGGTTGTATCGTTTAAGCCAGCCGGTCTTTCTTCTTTGTCACATGCTTTACTTAGCATCGGTTATGTAAGCCGATCAGAGACCTATCAGAGAGGTCTCAGGATGGCTCCCCACAGCAGCCCACACAACGTGCAGAAGGCTCCTTGGCATTTCTGACTCAAAGGTTTATTCGGTCCGAGCCTCCTGCCCAGCTCAGTGGACACCCACCTTCCTCGAACAGAGCTAGCAGAGGGAGAGGTGTTCTCTATCCTCAAGGAGAAAGACATGCACCCAGACTGTCTTACAAGGTGCAATAAAGAGGGGCACACCAGAGAATCACAAACACATAGCCACGTGTAGCATAGCATAGTTGCATGCTCTGACGGGTTGTGTTTTCATTTCCAGTTAGAACCTTCGTGACAGAGTTCAAATTAAAGAAAACATTTCTCAATACCACCATGGAGAAGAAAGCAGACCTACATGAAGTTGAAAATGAGATCACCAAAACAGTAAGTTTTCCAAAAGGCATCTTGCTTCGAGTCCTTTGTTTTTTCCAACAGATTTCATTTGGAATTAAGAACCTCATGGCAATCAGCTGTATCTCCTAGATATTCATTTCCATTATGTTTGGAAGGTAAACTTCATGGTAAAATTAAAAGCTTCTCAGAAATAGAAGGGAGGTGCTGAGAACCACTGGTGCCCAAGAGAAGTGTTTCTTCTGTGTGCCTTCACATGCAGCCTTTATCAGTGCCTTGGCATTTCTTTTTCATGTGCAGACTCAGAGTCACAGATGGTTAGAACCCATGCACCAGTAAGAACTATTGGCAATGAGGAAAGATCCAGAAAATTCTACAATCCCATCTGCAGCTGACATGCTGTGGGACTTTCTTTCTGTTTCCAAGCTTGGGGAGAAGGAGGCTCTTTCTCCTCAGGGCAATGCCAAAGGTGTGTCAGTTAATCCTGGTTTTCCAGGGTTGAGAATTCACTGCATAGATTATCTAGGGGTCTTTGATTCCTCTTCTTTCCCTCTTTGCTTCTTTTTGTCAGGGGAAGAAAAAAAAAAAAGAAAGGAAGGAAGGAAAATGAAAAAGAAGGGAGATGAAAATGAAGCTCAGGTAGTAAATTTTATCTCTTGTCTGCTACCTGAGTCTAAAATTTGGTGTTTAGAACATTGAAAATTGCCATTAAAATAAGTTTTAGACATTGATTAGTTTCTGATTTCAATTTTACTTGCTCTTTACGAGTAAGGGTAAATTAGCCAAAACCTATAGGGTTTTATAGGACTGTAGATTTTCTTTGTGTAAAATTTAGATTCCAGTTCCATTTCTGTATCAACGGAGCATCTACTCTACGATGGGCACTTTGCCAGAAGCCTCACTCCTGTAAGAGGTATTGTCAGCCCCTTCACAGCTAGAAGAGCAGGAAGCCCTGAAAGTTAATGGCGTTGCCTGAGTTCACACAGAGCAGGTACAATGTTAAGGAATAGTCTGCTAGACCAGTCTCACTTCTGACACCCATTTGCAAGTTTGGGGATCCCCCAGACCACCCTCAGATTTGATAATTCACTGTAAGGACTCAGATCTTACAGACGCTCTTAAACTCATGGTTGTGGTTTATTACAGTGAAAAGGTCCAGGTCCCAATCAGCCATGGGAGAGACACACAGGGCAGAATCAAGGAGGATTCCAAATTAGGCCCTTTCAGTTTTCTTTTTCCTGTGGAGTCACGTACTGTGTTAACTCCTCTTGGCAATTATGTATACAGTATTCATGGAGTCCTGCTAACCAGCGAAGGTCCCCTGAGCCTTGGTGTCAAGAGTCAATATGTGGACATAGTCAAATGCTCATATGGCTGACTTCAGTCTCTAGTCCTTCTGGAGGTCAGGCTGATACCATGTAACCCAAAGCTCCACAGAAATCATGTTGTTAGATATTTGGAGTAGCCCAGGGCCTCTAGGTGGACAAAGGCAGGAGGAGATGACCTCCTGGAAGCCAAGGGCTAGACCTCTCTTTAGGCAAGGTTAAATTCTTTACCATACAGCAGGATATTATGTCTGCTAACTCCTATACCTGGGGTTCTTGTCGCTTCTGCACAGTTGCCTTTTGGTTGTGCCGTAGGTCAATATTTCCTTCTGGGGTCATACAGGGGCTTCGAACCCGTGCAGAGATGCAGTCCTTCCCAGTACATGGCATTCAGTGACTTCCCTGATTTGTTCATTTTCACCCAGTGTTAATGTATAATTTATTAGAATGATGATTTAAGAAGAATAGTGATGATTTAAGCAGTGACTAGAGAAGCCATTTAAGTGGACTTCCCCAAGATGCCATTCTGTTCTGAAATGTGCCTTTTCTCTTTTTCCTTGGGAAAAAAAGTTTAAGTCATTATACTATGAATAAATCATTGCCCATTGGAATATAGAGCAATGTCACACAAAGCCAGAAAAGGTTTGCTAACATCCTATGTTTGAATCCATCTAATAAGAGTCAGGTGTGCTTGACATACAGGCTTTGAAAGACAGGCACGTCTGCATAGGTCAAGTTATTATGACTTTCTGCTGCACAGAAAGGATCCCCAGCCCCTACTATTGGGGAGCAGAAAGGCAGGCATGGAACTTTATGCCCTAGAGGGATTTTCTGCTTTCTCTGAGGGTACAAGGCAAACACAGGGAGAGTCACTCTTAATTTGCTCTCGGCAAAGGGGCTCTTGACCCACGTAATGTGATTTCCGTGGAGATCCTTTTTGAAGAGGACCTATCTTTGAGCTAGGTCAACTCACTGTAGATTATGAGGGGTCTGTGTCGGACTTGCCAGACCTGGGGTAGCTGAAGCCTTTTCAGTGAGCCTTGTTCACTCTGCAAAGTCCAAATAAACAGTTGCCTCTGAGTTTTTTGAAACCCTGGTCTTAGAAGAGATCTGTTCCTTTGAAGATGTTTTGCATCCAAGGGTGCTGTTCTGAACATCATTTCCTGCCAAGATTTTCCCCACTGATTTACTATCTGCCTCTCTCCCTTTGTACTCAGGGAACAACAGAACAAGAGCAGGGAGGCATTTAAGAAGGGCACAAAAAAAGGACACCACTGCTCTGTAAAGCTGCCTGCTGATAACTTGAGGGCTGGAAAATGCCAGTTTTATCCTGAAAATGGAAACTGGTTCTAGGTCTAAGGCTTTGATCTAACTCACAGTTAACGACAAACCTATTTTTCCTTTCAGTTAAATATGTGTTTTTCGGCATTACCTGGTTATACCCGATCCACAGTTCATGTTTCTGGGTAAGTAACAGAATTACACTCCCTTGTGAACCAGTCTATATATAGGGGAGATTATTGTAACATAGGCGACAGCAACAAAACTGGGCCCTGTTTGACCAAGCCACAGAGTGACCTGGGGCCAAGGTAACTGGACCTCCATGCTCTCCCATTCCCTTCTGGGAGAATAGAGATGCATTCATTTTCCAAAAACCCCGGGGCCCACATGGCATTCTAGGATAATTAAAAACTTACCCACTTTGCCAACAGGGAGTCCAATGCGATGGTCGTGTCCCTGCAAACCACCTTCTCCTTGGCCTCCAACGTGACGCTGTTTGACCTGGCCGATGGGATGCAGAACTGTGTCAACTCCTGTAGGTCTTCTGCTGAGGTCTGCCAGCTCTTGGGATCTCAGAGGCGGATCTTTAAAGGTAAGAGGATGGTCCTCTGGGAGGACCCTGCCCATATGGTTAGGTACAGGGGCACTTGGGGCTCTGGCTCCACATGCTGGTCACAGAGCCAGTCTATGTTTGAAACGGGTGTTCTGCGAGGGGCACCTGGGTGGCTAAGTTGGTTGAACATCTGACTCTTGACCTCAGCTCGGGTCTTGGTCTCACGGGTATGAGTTCAAGTCCCGTGTTGGGCTCTACACTGGGGATGGAGCCTACTTGTGTGTCAAGCAAAAGGCCTTCATGTGTCTGTACCTTGGTACACATGTGCATGCACACTCATGCATAGCCTTAAAGTCACCTGGTCTTTGGTATGCTGTCTCTCCTGTTTCTCCTGGACTTTGTTGGTGTGGGAAGGGATGCTTTTGTAATGAAATCAGTCTTCTTGACCTTGAAAAGTTCCAGCTCTCTCTGGGGAGACAAAGTCACACAGAGAATATACATACTTATCAATACCTCAGATCTGCATCATGATATTCCATTAAGTAAAAAAACAAAACAAAAAAAAACCATGGCCAGTGTTACCCATCTTGTGTTTTTGCAAATGATCAATGCATAGAAACAAAACCAGAACGATATAGGCCAGACCCTACTCATGGGGCCATTCCTAACCCTTTTCTCATTCACTCTTTACCTGTTTTGTCAGAGTTTCTGCAGTACCTCTGTGTCTGATGAAGCAGATTTAAAAGGGGATTATAGACAAGAACTTCATAAGGCAGATTTGGGTCTTAGAAAGGAAGTTTTGCCTCTGGGATGGGAAAACTTTACTAGAATTAAAAAGGGCTTGCTCACCAAGGGGGTTTACTCCTGCTGCTGTCTTGTCAGCAATCAGAGTGGGCTCCAGTTTTCAAACTGTGCTACCCAGTCAGGACCTGCTAAGGATGCAGAGTCTGGGAGCCTCCCTGTCGGGTGTTCAGACACCAACGGAAGTTGCTGGGAGCAGGTTTGGTGCTGTATCTGCTGGAAGATCCAGGATGTTCCCAGGGGCCCTGGGCTTTCTAAGTGCTGATCCAGAGGGCTCTCCTCACGGCCCTGTCACAGCAGAGCCTGGGAATTGGGGTTACCCTTGTGCCCGAGCATAGACGCTGGAACTCTAGCTCATTGCAAGGCTGGTTATTCATTTGGGGGAGAAAAGGAGCTAAGCTTTCTGGAACGGAAGTGGCTGTTATTTAGCATCACTGGGGAATTAACTAAAAAGTTTACGCCCAGTTATACTGTGCTCTCTACTTGGAGGCAAGAGCTCTTTGATTTTACTTTGTTTCTCTTCCAGTGATTCAAAGGTCCCAGTTTTTCCTAGCAAGTAGGAAGGGGACCTTTCAATTCACTGAATACTTAGAGACTACATCCTATGTGGTCAGCATTGTACCGGGTTACTTCTATGACCCTAGTAAATGCATTTCATGTCTTGCAAATCAAGTGGCCACATACTTGCAGTTTTAAGTACCTGCTCAGAAGTAGCCATGCCCACTCTCTGACCCCATTCTTTCTACTGCTTGGATGTGGCTTATGGGGAAGCTCCTGTCTTCCTTGCTTCCTTGCTGAGGTCACATTCTTTGTTTGTTTTGTTTTTTTAAGATTTCCTTTTTTCTCAGAGCACTGTTAGGTTCAGAGCAAAATTAAAGAGGAAGGGCTAGAGTTTTCTCATCTGCTCCCCTGCCCCAACCTATACTGGCCCCCATACTGTACCTCCCCTTTCAGAGCTGTTGAAAACAAAGACAGCCATGCATCTTGGCTGAAAACAGGCTGACTTTTCTGTTTTTCCTCCCAGTTCTTCTCCGTACCCAGCTCTGTGTCGTGCTCACCTTTCCAAGTGCAAGAGAGGTAGCTTGGATAAGCAGGGGCTGTCCTGTTCTGACATCTGGGTGTTTCCAACATATGGGCCGCACTGGGCTACTCTGGGCTTTCCACTTCCTTACCTTCCAGAGGACCGCAGCTCTCATGCCTCCAGAGGCTGAGAGTCTTTGGAAATCCCCCAAGGAGTGTCACAGCCTTGGATTTACATAAGTTCTCATTGTCTGTCCAGCGGATGTTATGCCCAGGAACGACCACGGGGATTGTGGTTGGAGAACACACACATTGTCAGGCTTAAAATAAAAATGGGATTGTAAATGGTTGCATTTGATGGATTTATGACAGAATGTTCTTTAAGGATTTTTAGGTTGGCAGTTCCTCTCTTGCAGGGGCAAGGCCAACTTTCTTTGCTTCTGCGCAGGGAAGGGTTGCTTTAGCAGGCGACTGGTATTTGCCAGCAGGCTGGATTCATGGGCAGGATGGAAGGAAAATGTGACATTGGCTTCCAGAAAATATCTAATCAGGCCAGGCAACTCAGGCTGGCTCCTGGACAAGGCCAGCGCCTGCCTTTTGCCCCAGAAGTATTTCTTTATATTAAGGCTTGAGGACTGGCAAAGCCTTCAAAAGTTTAGAGGAGGGACAGTGGGGGGTTGGAACCTCTGTAGTGCCAACTTCTCAGTGAGCCTGGTGAGGTTTTCCATTTTTCTAATTTTTCTCTCATAAATACAACCTTTTCACAATAAACAAAGGAAATTCTGTCACACGCGCAAATGGATTTCTGCTTTAGCACGCCAGCTTCAATGATAAAGACAGGAAATGCAGTGTTGAAAACCAAAGCTGTGTCCTAAACTTACCTCCCTGTGACCAGGCCATACAGCAGGTCCCCAGCCCTTGGGACTCAGCACAGAAGGCGGATGCGGGGACCTCGTGTGGGTGTCTATTCTCATCACCCATGGTGGGGGCAGCTGTGCCATGATAAGAGCCGATTACTGATTTTTTAATACATTGATGTCTTCCTTAAGGTGGGAGAGCGGAGACCATGACTCCTGGCACCATATACACACATTGCCCTTCAGTGACATCTCCGGGTTGCAAACTTGCTCTTAACCTCCCAACATCAAGAGCAAATCTCAGCGTCACTCTCCCCTTTCCCCAGCTATGAAGATGTTACTGCTTGTTCTCCAGTTAGTTGCCTAGTTTTGTTCTACTGTGTACCGTTTACATGTGTCATTTTGTCAGACCTGTCTCAGATAGTAAACATACCCTCGTTAGGTCTCGTGTGTACAGAGAGGGTATACTGTATGAGCCTCAGGGGGGGTCTGCTGTATACAGCCTTAGGGAGGGCCACATGCCCAGCAATGAATGCTTTTGGTTAAGGAAATACTTCCTTGTCACCCACAACATGGGCACAGCCCACGTGCCCAGAGCTGGACAAGCCAAGTTGATCTCTGTGTAGAAAGTTTCCTTTGGTTATTGTGAAAAGGTTGTATTTAAGCGAGAAAAATTAGAGAAATGGAAAACCTCACCAGGCTCACTGAGAAGCCTGAAAGAGACACTTCTCTGCCCACGCCTGCCTCCGCCCCCGACCCGTGGTGACGGCCTGGGGACCGTGGCCCAACAGCCTCTTCGGCGTGCATGTGCTAAGCGCTGTGTCTGACCATCTCTGGGCACAGTGATGGAGCCCCCTAGATGGAGAAGCCCCCAGGAAACCTCCAGCGTAGCGGGAGGCAGCCAGGAAACGTAGTGAAGGAACGCCATGCTGGGACAGTGGAAGACCCGCCCCGCCGGCCCTTGGGATCCATGTGAGGGCGGCAGGCTGCCCTGCCTCAAGAGTGCACAGCCTCCCTTGAGGCCTCAGGGACCCAGAGCAGCCCCAGACACACCCTCCGCTGGAGACAGGTCTGCACCTCCCTGCTTCCTCAGTGGGACATGGCGAGGGTTCCCTGCTTTGTGCTGGCTTCCCGGGGCAGGCCATGGCTGCCGTGGCTGCTGGGATCGGGGTTTGTTCTGTCCCATGGCCTGCTTGGGGAAGGAATGGCAGAAGGGGCTCCAAGGGGGCCTCCAAAAGGAGACTTGCACCAAGCGGGCTTTTCAAGAAACTGTGCTCTGAGCCTCTTTAAATAGAAAGTTCATGCCTCTTCGGGTTTGAAGTGGAGGTTTTGTTTTGTGTCACCGTCTTGTTTTTCCATTTCTAGCGGGTAGCTTGTGTAAGCGGAAGACTCCAGAATGTGACAAGGAGACTTCCATCTGCACCGACCTGGACGGCGTCGCCCTGTGCCAGTGCAAGTCGGGCTACTTCCAGTTCAACAAGATGGACCACTCCTGCCGAGGTATCAGCAAGTTCTTGGGGCTTCTGTGGCCCGTCCCAGCACAGAGAAGATGCTTTCCTCTGCCCCAAACTCTCTGCTTGAGGTGTGACTGTTCCAAACTGGGGGTCACTTGTTTTTGTCCTATTGCCCACAGCGGGATTGGACATGTTATCTCTGTAGAACAATAGCATTATCTCTGACGGGTGCACACTGCTCTGGCCAGTCACCCTCCAAGGAAAAGAAGACAGAATGGGAATGCCGATGACAGTGCCTCTTCCCCCCCCACCTCCTCACCCCCACCCCGCTTAGGGGAAGTTAGGAAAATTATTGTTTTAGCTCCCAAAGATTGATTCTGTTGTCTGCTAATCTTTGAAAATGGAGACCCAAGCCCAGAGTCAGGCCTGTCCCTTTGCGAGGCAGCTATGGCCTCAGGGACAAAGTCCTGCCAGAACTCAGGAGAGTCGGGAGCTCGGCTCTACCTCACAGACCACGTTTCTTCCTGGGCCAGACACTTTGCTGCGCTGAGCCTCAGTTTCCTCTTCTGTGAAATGGGTATAGTGGTGCTCCCTTGGACATTCTAGGAATTGAGGAAAGTTGTGTCTAGGGAGGTGTTTTGTAAACCATCAGCATTAGCCCTTGTTTTTCATCTAGGACTGGGCTGAATTAGTGAGTTCCAGGTTTAAAGTTTTCATGAAAGGTGTGAGGCCAGAAACCTAATTCTGCTAACCTTTTAGGTGAGATTTAAATTCATTCAGTTTGGAATAAAGGGTGCTCTGCAAGGATGGCCAGAAGGCTGCTACCAAGTAAAATTCCTGCCTTAAATTCCCTGCCTTATAGAAAAGACTGCTGGAATGTGTAATCCCAGGAAAAACGAGCAATACCAAGGCTCTCGTGTAGCTGGCAGCCTTGCCTCACATTGGCATGTCTACAGCACAGGCTTCCTGCTCCGCCAGCACCTGCTGGTGACAGATGTACTGGACCCTGAGTGAAAGTCACATACTAGGGAAAGGCGACACGCCACTTCTTTCTATCAGGACCTTGTAGGAGAGGACTGGCTCTATCAGGAGCAGATAAAAAGACGTCTCAGGGCGGTGCAGTCGTCCTGACCTTCAGACCTTCTGACTCAGGTACATACACAATGGCTTTGAAAGTGCACGCCCTCTGCTCCGCTTGCTGGCCCCGCACTGGGCTCTGGAGGGGAGGCTGGCCCGTGCACTGGCCAGCAGCCCTGAGGCACGGTGACCCCACAGCGTTGATTGGCACCTTTGACGCAAAGAAGATGACGCTTCCTAGTTCCATCTTCCCTGGTTTAATGCAAAGTATTCCTTGCTCTTGGAGGCCAAGGCATTGAGCCCCACTTCATGTGGGAAGGTGACCTCTGCTAAATCCATGTGCTGGGGTGCTGGGGAGCTGGCGGGAGGGTAGAAGTGGGGCCTGTGGGAGTGGTGGCCCCAGGACACTGAGTCTCTGGGAGTCTCTAACAGCCTCAAGAATAGCCCTGCCCCCTGCTCTGGTGGCCCCAGCCACATGCCCATTTCCAGCGATTTGTTACATGTCCCGCTTGCAGACTAGCAGTAGTGACAGCAGGACTGTGCGAGACTTTCCAAATGCAGTGACACAGTCTCCAGTAACCTTACATTGATCAAGTAAGGACCCATGGTGCAGCGTGAGGATACCTTGATTGGCTCTCAGGCTTGTTGCCGAGGCCCTGCAAAGCCTTGTTTCTGCAGTATCCTTGTTAGTTAGACTTTTGTCCATGGCCATCAGGCCTTGGCAGCTGCTCCTCGGACCAAGCCCTGTTGGCTGGGTTCTGATGGGTGGCAGTGACATCTTCTGGCCATCAGTGCTGGAGCGCAAGGGAACTTAAAATAAGTCCCATTTTGGACACTTCAGCTCTGAGGTCAGTCCTCAGTCTCAACGGGAGATAGAGTTATGTGGGTATGTTTTCTAAAGCTGTACGTCAGTGAGCCTGTATTGTTCTCTGTTGTACACATATATGCTCTCCTTAGTGTCACATAAAAGAGCTTCACAGTGGCTTTACCAGACTTGCAAACCATTTTATAAAATTAAAGTGGGTGCCCTTCCCACTGAGGTCTTAACTTCCTTCCACCATGCAGGCCTCTTTCTCTCCAAATGCCTTGAAAGCCAACCTGTGTCTAGAACATACTTAGCACATTATGGGCTTTACCTGTCGAATTCACACATGGATGCCAGGACAGCAAATATGGTAGGAAAACAGTGCAGGTCTTGGGAACAAAAAGAATCTTGAGGACTCCTCCACTTAATTGTATCGAAAAGGCCAGAAGACCTCCACTGGCTTGTGTCCTGTGTCCGTAGGCCAAGTCCAGTCTGGACACAAGCACTAGTTGTTACTACACTCATCTTGTCTTCAGTGCCCCCCGGGTCACAGTCCCGCCAGCATGTGGAGAAGAGGAGCTGGGGCCTGACATTCCCTGGAGCTCTCTGGTGAGCTTTTCCTCCAAGAAGCCTGAGGACAGTGCCAGGCCTGTAGTGGCCCGCTATCTTTGATGAGCGACCGAACGAGCCCATTTGAAGTAAAGAAATATTGTTACGCCAGGAAGTGAGGCCCCTTCTGAGGGCCAGTGAAAACAGCCCACCCATCAGCTCACGGGCGGGACACCAGATGGACATTCCGTCTGGCAGGATGACAGCCCCAGGGTGGGATAGCTGAGGGTGGGCAGATGAGGGCAGGGTGGGTCAATCTGATGTAAAAACATTTCCAGGAAGAAGTGTTTAGAATAGAACAGACCAGTGTGACATCAGCCTGGCCCTCAGTGCCGAGATGGACGGCGGTGAGTCACAGGGATGCCAGCAGTGCCTGGGAAGCTTCCTGCAGATGGAGATGTGAGGCACCCAGGGCTGGCTCCCCAGCTCCTGCAAACCCCTGGAGCATGAGGACAGCCTGGGCACGGTGCTCCCCACACCCAGGAAGCAGGAGTGCTCAGCTGTTTTCTCAGAGGAGCCCCACCTGAGGACGGCCAGCAGCCGACTCAAGCATGTCAAAGATGTGGGAGGGGGCCTCGTTCCTCCTTCCCTGCATGGTTGCAAAAAATACAAATACATGGTTACAAAAAATACATGGTTGCCCTACTTGGTTGCAAAAAATACAGAAAGGCAGGCTACCAGGTCCCGCCTGTTTGCTAAAGGTAAAGCCCCTCAGTCCGGTTCTGAGCTTCCTGGATACCAGGGCAAAGAAAGAAATACGGTCTTACAGGGACCGTAAAATAAAGTACAGTTGTTCAGAAGCATCCCTTTCTTTTTAGGACTCAAGGCTCAAGAGAAATTTCTCTGGGGTGTCCTCACTGAGCGCTTACTGAATGGTATTGTGGCGGGTGGCGTGGTCCGTGGCAACCTGCCCCAGGTCCCGGGAGCTTTCCCAGCACGGCTGCTTGGTGCAAGAGACTGCGGCCCAGGACAAGTGCTTCTGTGGAGTGAGAACAGGGCGGGCCAGGTTTCCAGCTGGAGAGATCTGCTGGAAGGAAATTGCAGACTGTGGAGAGCAGTGTTGTCTGAACTGTTCCAGTCCACTCTAGTGATACGCTGGTAAGCTGGGACAACAGAAGAGATGGTGGAAACAGGCAGCGTCCAGCATTCAACGTGGAAGAACGAACGGCGCTGAGCACATCCACAGCATTTAATGTCATCACACGCTAATCCGCAGGGGAGGCTGTGGCACGTTGGATGGGAGAGCGCCTGTCCCAGCCCGCAGGGCGTGCACCCCTCGTCCCCAACCACGCCTGCTGCCACCACTCACATCCCACCGTTAGCACGTGCGCTGTCTGTCAGGGGATCGCTGCTCTATGCCCTGGACCTTTTCTTATCTGTGATCTTCAATGCAGTGTACATCGTACATTATTCATGAATCAGATTTCTCTCACTTCCTGCAGCGATGAATTGGACAATGAGGCCATTTTTTATTGTCTGCTTTCATCCAAGCACACATTATAGCTCATGCTGTTCTGTCAGCTTATTACAGTGTTGCAGGTGTTCCGCAATCGGATAAGTTGGGGAACTGCTGACTCCCAGCAATGGCTGGGCCACAGCCCTCCGGTCCGTCAGCAGCACCGAACAGAGGGTTCCAAGTTCTCTTCTGGGGTGCTGTGCTGATTAGCACTCCCCCAGATACATCCAGAATCCCCTGCACAGGCTGTAGATAGGGTGAGCATTCGCCCGTGGAAACTGAGGCACCCACCGGGACCATGTCCCAGAGGATTTCACAGCTCCCACTTCTTCTTGGAAGGGACTGATGAGGCCAACAGCAGGTTAAAGGTTTGACCTACATTAAAGAAGATAAAGCATTTGTGTATATGGAAGGCTGTTACACAGGGGCCCCAGAGAACTTCCAAAAAGAATTATATTTGTTGGATAATAATTATAACCATAGTCATTTATTTGGTGGTAACTATGGGGCACTATGCTAAGCCATTTGCATACCTGATTTTACCTAATTCTTTCTAAGGAACTATAGGGTAGATATTACTATTTCTATCATAATCATATATATATATATATATATATAAAACCAATAGGCACCAACTGGTTAAGAAATTTTTGTGATAAAATTAAGAGTTGAGCTGGGCACCTGGGTGGCTCAGTCAGTTAAGCGTCTGCCCTCAGCTCAGGTCCTGATCCCCGGGGTCCTAGGATCAAGCTTTGCATCACATCTCACATCGGGCTCCCTGCTCAGCCCCTCCCCCTGCTTGTGTTCTTTCTCTCGTAAATAAATAAAATCTGTAAAAAAAAATTTTAAGGGACGCCTGGGTGGCTCAGTTGGTTAAGCGGCTGCCTTCGGCTCAGGTCATGATCCCAGTGTCCTGGGATCGAGTCCCACATCAGGCTCTTTGCTCGGCAGGGAACCTGCTTCTCCCTCTGCCTCTGCCTGCCTCTCTGTCTGCCTGTGCTCACTCGCTCTCTCTCCCTCTGTCCCTGACAAATAAATAAATAAAATCTTTAAAAAAAAAAAAAAATTTTAAGAGTTGAGCTGGCAGGTTATAGATAATTCTAAAGCTATTTGTAGGCTTCTGGTTCTAGAATATTCTTGTGCACTTTAAGGTGGCTGGTGTCTAATAACTGCCAGTTTGGGTCAAGGGAGGTCAAGGGGCATATTCATGGATTTTCCTTTTTCTCTTGCAGCATGTGAAGATGGATATAGGCTCGAAAATGAAACCTGTATGAGGTAGGCTCCATGACCATTTTTTCTGATAAATTTGTTACAAACCAGATCTCGAAGTTACTTGGGTAGGTTGCCACAGTTATTTCTTTTGATTTTTGAAACTAATTCTCATTCTTTTTCTTTGTTGACTTGCAGTTGCCCATTTGGGCTTGGTGGTCTCAACTGTGGAAACCGTGAGTATGCAAAGATCTCGAGTTTCAAGGGGGCAGAGTGGGGAGTTTGGGGGAATAGAGGGCTGACATGGTCTCTGTGCACAAGGTGTGAGTCTCTTCCCCTCTCCCTCTCATCTCAGCTCCAGTGCAGAGGGGTATGGGGAAAGCAGAGCAGCCTCCAGAGCCTCCAGGTCTGGCAGGGGAAATGAGTGCATTCCTAAACAGCCCTCACTGTGGAGGGTTAACACAAAAAATTGGGGGGGGGGCAGGAAGGGAGGGAGCAGGCCTAGGAGACTAGAAGAGCCTCTGGAGCACCTCTTGGAGGGGGTGGGATTGGAGGTTTTGGAAGGCTTTGAGTGGCACGTGTGGAGGAGAGGGAGTGGAGACAGAGGGAACAACTTCAAGGTCTCAGGGCAGCCTGGGCTGGTGCTGTTCCGGGGATGGTGTGTGTGGTATGGCCTAGGATGGACGGAGAAGAAGGCAGAGCGGAGGATTAGTTTGGCAGAGTATGTGCAAACCAAGCTGTTAGCTTGACAGCCAGCCCCGAGACTTGAGACTCTAATCAGAACCCATTGTGGAAGCGGCAAGAGTCCTCGAGCAGGACCGCAGCTGATGGAGAAAATCAGGTCAGGCTGCAGGACGGAGGGCAGATTCAGTTCCTGGAGAAAAGCAGTTGTGACTCATTTCAGATCACTTTCACTGACATCTTCTGGTATCCAGAGCTGAGAAATTAATGAAAGAAATTCTGGGATATAGGATATAATAGGAATAATAACATTCAGTACTTTATTTGAGGAGAGCTTTGACCCGCATTCTATAGATGAGTGTGCCTTAGACATGACCTCATAACATGTATAGAAGTGCCCAGTTCCTAGTACCCCTGATAGTTGATGTCTTCACTGGTATTTTCTTTGCTCGTAAAACTTTCTTATTAGTAAGTTTCATTACTGTACTTTGAGCATAAATAAAAAGTAAATAAGATAAAATAACAAAGTAAAAAAATGCGGTACTCAACAGACATAAAACTATTTGGGTGTGCTGGGCATGGAGCCATTTTGAGGCCAGAGTCTGGAGACTTGGAATTACATACCATCTAGGATTTTTGGTGATTTGGGGCATTGGCTTGAGCCTGACTACAAACTAGCAAGAGGTTACAGTGGACAGCCTAAGAGAAAGATGGGGGAAACGCTTCTAAAAGCAGATATATTTAGAGTCATATAGAACAGAGGGAGGAGCTCAAAGAATTAATGTTTTATTCTTTTTTTTTTTTTTTAAGTAGAAGCTAAGGCCACAGTGTGGTAGACAACCCTATCTTATTTAGTAATCCCTGAGGACACCTTGGAGCCATAAAAGCACTTAAGCACAGATATTCATCACGATGGACCCAAATCATCACACACCAAATGGTGTTCCAGGCTATTGTGAACTGGTTTTTACTCACAAAGCTTCTAACACTAAAGGGGCGGGGGGGGGGGGGGGGTGTCCCTCACAGCAGGCGATTCTGACATTTTCCAGAGTGCCAAACACCAGACATTAAGGTCTCAGAGTCCCAGGACTGCCCCGACTCCAGACAGTCTCAAGTCTGGGTCTCTGGTGCTTCTGACCAGCCAGCTATAAATCCCAGGTTCCCACGACACCCTCCTCATGTTCAGTAATTTGCTAGAACAGCTTATAGAACTTACAGCTACAGTAGAGTGGATTCACATGTGCAAGACACTTACTTAATGTTACCAGTTGATTATAAAGGATACAACTCAGGAACAGCCAAATGGAAGACATGCCTGGGCAGGAATGGGGGCAGCTGCTCAGAACTTCCATGCTTTCGCAGGTGCCTCACCTTCCCCACACCCTTATGTGTTCACCAGTCCAGAATTTCTCTGAACTTCATTGTTTAAGATTTTTTTTTTAAAGATTTTATTTATTTATTTGTCAGAGCGAGCGAGCACAGGCAGACAGAGAGGCAGGCAGAGGCAGAGGGAGAAGCAGGCTCCCTGCTGAGCAGGGAGCCCCACGTGGGACTCGATCCCAGAACACTGGGATCATGACCTGAGCCGAACCAACTGAGCCACCCAGGCGTCCCCATTGTTTAAGATTTATAGGGGGATTCTGTTACATAGCATCAATTGATGAAATTAATGGTCATTGGCCATTGGAAGTCAGAGATGGGGCTGAAGGTTCCAACCCTCTGATTGGTTCCCCTGGCAACCAGCTCCAGGCCCCCCTTCATTAGCATAAACAGGTGTGGTGGAAAGAGGCTTTTTATAAATAACAAAAGGTGTAACTCACACCCCTTTCACTCAGAAATTCCAAGGATTTTAGGAGCTCCTATGCTAAGAACCAGGAGTAAAGACCAAATAGGTATTTCTTATTATATCACAGTATCACAGGTATATACATGGTTTAATAAGAAGAGGAAGTTATGGGCACCTGGGTGGCTCAGTGGGTTAAGCCTGTCTTCTGCTCAAGTCAGGGTCTCAGGGTTCTGGGATCAAGGCCTGCATCAGGCCCTCTGCTCAGCAGAGAGCCTGCTTCCCCCTCTCTCTGCCTGCCTCTCTGCCTACTTGTGATCTTTCTCTCTGTCAAATAAAGAAATAAAATCTTAAAAAAATAAAAAGAAGAGGAAGTTATCATATGTTAGACTTTTTAAACATTAAAAAGTAGTCAAAATTATCTTTTAATACTAGTGCTTGAGAAGGTAACCTTCAGGACCTCTCTCTATTTGCTAGGTGGGACTCTGCCTGACTCATGAAACACTTCATAAATTCATTAGAGCCTCAGGAAAAAAAAAAAAAAAAACGTAGGCTTTAGTTTTTTGTTTTAGTAGAAGTACAGTCGGCACACAATGTTACATTAGTGTCAGGTGTACGACATGATGATCGGACAAGGGTATGCGTTTTGCTGTGCTCGCCACCTACGTCGCTCCCATCTGTCACCATACAACACTGTTACAGTTCCATTGGCTCTATTCCCTATGCTGGACCTTTTATTCCTGTGACTTATTCATCCCGTAACCAGAGGCCTCAGGATTTTTTTTTTTTTAAGATTTGGCTCATATAAAACCCTATGGATAGCAGTGTATGTCCTTTTCTAAAAAGTCACTGGACAAGCTTTCTCATCTGGGTCCGGGATCCTTATGCCTATGTTCAGGAAGCTATCTGTGCTTTCCAAGGGCTGCCTGGGATATGGAATTATCTTGTTCACTTTCTCATGTGAATCTCCTCCTTTAAAACCAGAACCGAGCCGTAGAGCCCTCTGAAACTGATCACAGAATAGAGTAGCCTGCACACAAACATAGAAGAAGCCTAGAACTTTCAATGCAGAAAGGAGGTTGAATAGTCAAGCACAACGTTTAAGCTGTCTGAGACCTGTTCACCAAATGCTGGAATACTACAACTCAATGGCTGAGTTTTTTAGAAGAGGTTTTCAAGCTAAACAGGTACTGATTGCACCACAAGCCTGCGGATCTAACTCTGAGAGGTCCTAAGTATTAGAAACAGAGAGGCTTTGGGACACCTGGGTGGCCCAGTCCCTTAAGCATTTCCCTTTGGCTGGGGTTATGATCCCGAATCCTGGGATTGGGTTCCACATCCGGCTCCCCGCTCAGTAAGGAGCCTGCTTCTCCCTCTGCCTGCTGTTCCCCTTGCTTGTGTGCTGTCTCTCTCTCTCTCTGACAAATACATAAATAAAATCTTTCAAAGAAAGAAAAACAGAAACAGAGAGGCTTAGATAATGTCACAGAGGATGGCTTAAGAATAATTTGAGGAGGAGTGCCTGGGTGGCCCATTTGGTTAAGCGTCTGCCTTCCGCTGGGGTCATGATCCCAGGGTCCTGGGGTTGAGTCCCTTATCAGGGTCCCTGCTTAGCGGGAAGCCTGCTTCTCCCTCTGCCTCTCCCCCTGCTTGTGCTCACTCCCGATCACTCTCTCTCTCTCAAGTAAATAAATACTTTGGAACAAAATATTTTGAGGGAGGCACAGGGGAAGAATCAAGGTACAGTAGAGTTGTATCACATGTACAAGAAATAGACTAGAACAACCCATCAGAATGCAGAGAGGAGAGAGTGAGGGAAGCAGATGATTGGTGTCACTCTAGGGTTGAACCAGGGAGCGGGAGGTAGGAGACGCCATCTGCCAAGTCCTCCTGGCGCCTCCTGGTCCTGACAGGCCTCTGGTGAGGCCTCCTTTTCAAACCTCCTTTTGTCGAACATCTCTCTAAATAGGCTTTACGAGGAAAGGCTTCGATTTCTCAGTGAACGGAAGAGTGATCCAAGGAGGGAGAACGGATCTAGGGGAAAGCCCCATAAAGGGTTGAGGGGAAAGGGGAGAGAACTGCCAGCATTGCTTTAAGAGGCATTTAGTGATTTTTTTTTCAGAGTTCATTAAATACTATATATGTCTGGAGATGATATGCCCCTACATTCATTGACCCTTCTGCAAGTTCCTGTGTCCCCCTGTTATGTTTGTGGGGTCTTGACCATAGCCAGGATTTCTCTCTGATTCTGAGACTTTTTCTTCCCCTTTCATCCACGTTGTCATCATTATGACCAGCAGAGGGCAGGCTTCTGTCTGGATGGCTCTCTCCCAGCCATGCTGTGTTGGTGACTTTGGTTAACACCTTGATGGTGTGGGGCTATCACTGTGTGATTTTGCTATCTGTCTTACTATTGATTAGCAATGAACAGTGACTGATAGTAAACAGCACCTGCCCCCACCCTTGTCTGAGCTCTCAGATCATCATTTCGGTGTTGTTTAAGGAATGGGGAACTCCTGATTCACCCCCTCTGTGATGATGGCACCTTGAGGAATCTGTGATTTGTCACTCAGTGTTTTGTGTCCAATAACAGGGCCCTGACCACTCACAGTGTCACTTCTGTCGTGGCCATCAAAGACAGTGAGGGCCTTCTTGGGACTACAAGAAGCCCCAAGAGGGGCTTCCTTAAGCTGGAAACTTTACGGGCAAGAAATGCTTCTTCTCCATGCAGACATCTTGGGGCACAGGCCCTACCCAAGCCCCGTGAGAAGG